CGTTAATCACGTGACTCTCACCATATGTCACGTGAGCAGAAACTGGGTCAAGCAACCTGCAAAAGCACTGTATCAATTTTAAGCATTTAATGTGGATAAATAATTAAATAATTATTAAATACATAAATTAACAATAATTATAATTTTTACATATTAAAATAATTGACAAAGAAATAGCATTTACGTGTACATGTATAGAAAAGCAAATGATTGCGACAGCTATTTTTTGTGTCTTAGAACTTTTCAGCTAGAAGGACAAGCTCATGACCTTCCTTCTTTTATTGCTTTCTTAGGCCCAATTTAATTGTAGGCTGCACTAGTTGCTCTGTTAGACTTGGATTGGTATTTTGCACTGGTAGAGTTTCCCATGGCTCATTGCTATATGTGCAAGGACTCTCACTTGAGATAGGAGAAGGTAGAAGAGGAAATTCCAAGACGTCATTTTCTTCTATTACCTTTTCTTCTTCTCTTGTTACTTTTCCTCGAGGGATGAAAGTCATTGGGCCGGTATCAATTTGAGGGTCACAGTGGACTGGACTGTTGTTAGCAATTAGACGCTGAATGGCAATGTGTGGTGGGCCAGGTGACTGTGGAGAGATACGTGGTTTGATTTTGAACGGATTATGTGGCTTTCTAGAGACACTCCTTATGGGCCTATGTTTAAACGGATGTGAGAGCCACTGATAATACATAGGATGATGTCTATGCTTGTTGAAAACTCGTAAAAGGCCAGATACGTTTCGGTAACTTAAGGACTTGAATTCATTAGTTAATACATGCATTGACTTCATGTGTTTCCTTATGCTTGTATGTTTTTGCTGTTTTCTTTTGTTACGGGAATAAGATCCTCGTTTTTTAATATCGCTATTCCTATTCCGTGTATCAGCCGTCTGTCTGCACAGTGGAATTTTTAAGGGAGGACTGTCAGCATTGTCTTGAGGTATTGCTATCATATTTTCTTTATTCAGCTCTTCCTCAGCTAGATTAGCAAAGGAGCAAGGCGAGACTAGATTAGTTGATATATTTTTCTGATCTATTTCATGAGGTATACCGATACTATCAGAGAATGATGTATATTTTGAAGGTGACTGATTATTATTTTCTGATATGCATGTACATGTTGTGTAAGACTCGGCATCTGTATCGTTAGAGGTAGGTTCTTCAAAGGAGCCATCATCCTCTGTTGTCTGGTTGGTAGAGTTAGGTGGATGAGTCAAGACTCTTGAGTTGAGATCAGTCGTATGGCTATTTTCTACTGCTTGGCTTTTTTCTTTGAGGTTTTGAACAGTTTTATGAAGCTCCATGAGCTTGACAGACATTACAATGACAGCAATTATTGTGAGAATGAGGAAGGCAGTTACTAGATACATTAGATCCATCATATTGATTCCTTAGAAAAGTAATATTCAATGCCTCGGCCTTACAAAAGTAATATCCAATGCCTATAGTGATAGCTTTGATGATGCAATATTCATGTAGTTGATGACACACCTTCAACACACCACCAACACACCTTTGACACACCCATCAATTGTATAATCATTATTATATTTATAGCCTATTTTGTTGCAATGTATTAATAATTTAAGTGTAGTATTTTATGTACAATAAATGGATTCAATGCATTGTATGTTAATTTCATGGTTTTACTGTGTTGATTTTATATTATACTTAGCCACAGAGCCCTCCCTTCTAATGAATAGGAGGAGCACTCTAACAGCTAGAGCAACTGTTTTTGTTTCAGCATGTCTTTTTATACATACATGTATATGTACATGTACTTACTGTACACTATTATAATGAATTTAATTTTCCTTTTAGAGTCACACCAGAGAGAACAGACAAAGTAGTAAGATACTGTATAATTCAATGGACTAAGTATTTGATGTCATAAACTACATGTATAAAGGTGAGTTTTAAAGTTATCATGTTTGTGCATGTATGTATTAGTCTCATGAATTTACATGTAACATTTGTTTTAATCTGTCCTCACCATCTTGTTAACTTTTGGGCTGCATAAGAGTGTAATGCATCGCAAATTTTAGCTAACCATATTGGTACATTAAGCTAGTGTTAAGGAATTTTTAATCGCTAATATTAGTCTTTGCCATAAATTTTCCAATTGTATTGGTATCAAATTTATATTAAAATTGAGTAGCAAAAATCACACTTTATAGTAGATAATGGCTTTGAGGGAGAGGTGACAAAAACAGAGAAAACAATTAATGTACATGTAAACACCAAAATAGCAAGCTTAAAGAAAAACAATGGC